TCTCAACTATACAGTTTCACAACTTTCTTTCGGGTAGAATCAAAGATATCTTACCCCCAAAGCATCGACCAATGAAATTGCGTAGCTCTGCTTAACTTTAGCTCGAAATGTTAATCATTGAACTCAGTCAAGACATTCACCTAATGCACATCTACATCAGGTTTAAACATTCTACCTCAATTAAAAGCAGAGTTGTTATGTTTCAATGTCTTGACCAATCAAATTGCTTATCGCTCCTTAGCCTAAGCAGAAAATTCTCATCATCGAACTTAGTCAAGGTAATGATATAATGAATCTATACTCGGAGTTTCATCGCTCTCACTTAATTATAACCAAAGTTATCGTGCCCCAAAGCATCAACCAGTCAGAGTGCTTATCTGTGCTTACCTTAAGCAGACAATGTTCATCTTCGAACTCCATCAAGGCATTCGCCTAATGGACACCTAAGCCAAGTGTGAACATTCTAACACAATTAGAATGAGAGTTATTGTGTTCCAAAGTCTCGGCCAATCAAATTGCTTATCGCTCTGCTTACCCCGAGCAGAACATGCTCATTATCAAACTTAGGCAAGGTATTGATGTAGTGAAACTATACACCAAGTTTCATTACTCTCACTTAATTGGAACTAAAGTTATCGTGTCCCAAAGCATCAGCCAATCAAATTGCTTATCTCGGCTTACCCTAAGCAGACAATGCTCATCTTTGAACTCTATCAAGGCATTGCCCTAATAAACACCTACGCCAAGTTTGAACATTCTAGCTTAAATAGAAGGAGAGTTATTGTGTCCCCAAAAAGTGTGACGGGCATACGGGTGGACGGACACACAGACGGGCAGACAGATAGACAGACGGACGAACCCATTTTAATAGTCCCCTGCTTTCTTCGAAAGGCGGGGAACAAAAAGAATATTTTAAGATTTTAGTATGATCCTAAACTATACTTACAGCCACAGTTGTGACGAAGTCGTGAGGGAGAGACGTGGGACTTACCGCTAACTTGACACTAAACAAGTCCTTTCGGAACTAACATTTTTTTATACGTTTCACCGATGTGGTTGCTTGTATAGTTGAATTTTACTACATATGTTTACATTCGTATTTCTTGTAGCATATGGCAGATCATGACTCGTGCTGGCATTGCACAATGGTTTCTTTGGGTTGTATTGCTGATTGTTTTCAAATTTGAGTGAAGTCTGTGTCACTACAGACCCGGGACTGTACAGCGCAGTGGATGCTTACGGCTAGCCCCCGGATCCATTAACTTTTTTTAAGTTGTTTGTCGGTTTGTGTTTTTCTGAGTATGATGGCTTGTCCGTGTATTTGTTTTTGTGTAAATTTTGTGTGGTGCAGTCCCCCTGAACTTACTGTATATAGTGTATTTTATTTCAAGAATTTGCTTGTGTGTGGTTGTCTTTATCTTAGCAACCTGGGATCGAAACCACGACACTTGACCCTGGCTACCAACCCTGCCATATTAGATTTACGTAAACATGGACAATCTGAAACTTTGTATCGTCTACGTCTTCTAGATATCTATGTACCTTATGAACCCGTTGTTGTTTATGTACGTGATAGTCTGACAGACAACCCAGTCCCTAAAGGGCAACCGGTACAAAAGGACAGATTGCTGGAGATCGATTTTAATATTGATCACAACACACGATGAATATTGTAGTTGATATTTTGCATCACTCGATTTCATCTGTTAAAAGTAACAGAATTTAAGGCTTGGTTTTAAGGTAGTTTAGTGTTCCGTTGGTGTTAGGAAGTTCGTTGATGTTATTAAGTACCAGGAGATTTTGTGTTTAAAATATTGCTGCCACAGCGACATCATCGGGGTCATCGATTTAAAATAGATAAGTCTTACTGATAGTCTTTGCTTATCCGAAAAATGGTCTGCTTGATCTCGTACCTGATGGATGTATTCCAGGTAAAATTAAATGGCGATAATTCTTTGGGGATTTCTTTTTATTGTATAGTCTATCTTAAGTCCCAGATCAATTTAAAGGAATATATCATTAGCTATTTTATCAATGTTAATAACCACCTTCCACCTCGTTCATCAAGAGTGCATGAACATGACCTACTCAAACATACTATCATAGAAATAGCACAATCTAAGCCTTAAGCAGGATGAATACAACCCACAGTATCAATTTCTGTTTAAATGAACAGTAACGTGGTAAACACGGTGGACAACAATTTTGATTCTAAATTGATTCTAAATTTTTAAGTCTGCAAAAGTAAAAAGAAACAACACCAAATAGCAATAATCTTCACCCTCGAAGCCAATTATACAAAATACATGTTCTGCAATTTCCGAAACTTTTTATTTCATCTTTAGATGGAAATGAATGTGTAGTTATTAGGTAACAGATTGATTTCCCTCCCAGATGATTACACTGACTTCTATTAACACAACTGTAAAAGCTATTATGGAAAGTGGGTCGTTTGATTACCGCATACATGACATTTAAAGTAGAAGTTATGAAATAAAATGAAATGAAAAATAAAATTAGTTTCCTGCATCGGACTAATGAAATCCGGCATATGCTATGTAGTGTGCAATGAGGGAAAATTTTCCAGAACAGCTTCGTTTTCGCCTACACTTAATCTTTGTCGGGACATTGTTCCTGCACAACTGACAATCACTGACCTGGTGAAACTATCAACTTAAATGCGAATACTTCTGCAAATATGAACACATCATTTAGGTTGTAATGAACTATTTGAGAGCTAATTAAACGACAGCGTAAGCCTATCCTGAATAAATTCGCCTAACTTAGTCGAATTTGAACTGCCGTTGTTCTTTGTGGGACATTGTTCCTGCACAATTGACATGGCGAAACTATCAACTCATATGCGAATAATTTTGAAAATAAGAACACATCATATAGGTTGTAATCAGGTATTTAAGAGCCAATTAATGACAGCATAAGCTTATATTGTATACATATTATTTGGATCAAATTTAGCCTAAATTAAACCCTTAAATTCAAAAAGCTCGTAGACTGGCGAATTAACATTCAGAAAACAGTTAATAGCTACACAAATTCCGAAAAAAAGCAAATAAAGCTGTCAAACACAAAAAAAATGTATTTAAGGCTTGTTTAATAGTGATCCCCGCCATAGATTTTGGAGCATTGAAATACCCTCTGAAATGAAGTTTGATAAAGATTACTCCAAATTTTTTTTATTAAAACCAAGCTAGTATTTTTAAATAGTTTTGTTCAACAGCCGATGTTCCTGCCTGCTATGAATTGAATTTCAATAGTTTATAACATGTGTTCATAAAGCTCAGTGGTGTTCAGAGTCATATTCCAAACGGACGTAGTCATAACATGTGTATAATATAGTATCATCAGTTATAAAGGGCATTCAAATTCAATGTTCCTGAAAACAAAATACAAATTGATGTATATCAGAGGAACGTGCCAAAGAAACTGGGACTCCCAAGACAAAGTAATCTAAAAGAGTACGCATACACTGCATTGAACGGACCTACATGTATAGCCATCTATATCTTTTACAAGTTCGGTATCTATCAGGAATCTTGGATTTTTCAATCTAGAGAATTTGACCAAAATATGTTTTCTTATATTCAAAAGAAAGGTCAATGATTTCTAGTTTCTATTCAGAATTGCTACCATGAGACATTAAGAATTTTATCATTCCAAATAAAATAATATAATACATACATTTTAGTGTATATTTAGCTCATTGTCTTTCGAAATATGAGCGTGACAATAAAAAGGGTTTATAGCTTAATGAACTAGTAACGAACCAATACATTAAACATAAAAGTAAATTGAAGATGGTTCAATGAGTTTTCTAAGATCTAGCTTACGCTGTTAAGACTACCAGGCCAATCTCGGCTGCATAGAATAGAAGGAGTCATGCGATATAATCGTGTTAATTGTCACGATGAAGGTGGTATTGTATTCTCTTTGGATGGTTGAAATAAATCTGTGGAAATTGGTAGGGAGAAAAAAGTACAAGTCCCTTAAAAGAAATTGCAATCAATATATTACGAGAGAATAGGCGATGCAATCATCATATAACGGATTGGGCATGCTTGCTAAATTGATTCTATTCTTCACAAACCTAGAAGAAAATCTGCATCACTGCAGGTCGTAGAAATCCAATAAAGAGATTAGAAGAACATATTGTAATATGATTTCCGTTTCTACTGTCAAAGAAATCTGATTTAGTAACGACCGAGGCGTTCTGTTTTTTGTTAAAATCTCGAAAGCAATACTGCTCTATTTGGCCTTGAGCGATTCTAGAACTTAGTTTGATATGGTATTACATTATATGGTTATATAGTATCCAAAAGGGGCTGTCAGATATCTCACATATTGTCTTTGAAGCTGGTATTCAGATCACGTCGTGAATTAAGGGAGTTTTAAAACCCATGCTGGATTATGATTACTTTAAAAGTGAAATTTACGACAATAAAAAGATCATATACTTAGGGACATATAGGTTTAGTGGCATCCTTTAAACACAGATAAGATACAGTGTAGGCATAACAGTTTAAATTATAACCGTTCAATAAATGGTAACCAGCCTAACTGCTTTAAGGCTATCTGGATATGGATAAGAGTAAGAATAGAAAACCATATAGAAGTCCTAATCCGATCATATTAATACTAATTCACAATTCTATGCTAGATATGCATAAGCCTGTTCCCCAATCCATGTTCAGAATAAAATGATCAGGTTTTTTTTTAATTATTCAACCAATACCTCAATTTTGAACATTAAAGAATACATGGAGTGTAGTGATGCCGAGAATTCGATTTCATTTTGATCAAAAGTATACGACCTCGACACTGAATCATTGATATTGAATGAATAATTAATGTTATAATGATGTAGGTTATATGATTATGTACTAAGATTTTCAGAGAATATATAGTTTTAGATTGATGGGATATTTTTCTTTTTTGTTCAATAATACAATCATTTTAAACATTCAATTTCTTTCTATTTTCAGCAAAGACCAATCAAACAGTCGTTCTGTGGCTCTCTGCGTCGTGACGCTCATTGGAAGTGCCTGATCCTAACATTGCTCATCTGTGGTTGTCTTGCATCTGTTGCTTGGTGTCGTTTTGCTGTGGTGGAAACTGTGGTTGTGGATTATTATTCTTTACCAGCAGCTTATATACAAGACAAAACAAGTCCCTGTAACGACGGCTACATCTATATCCCTGTAGCCTTTGTCATCATGTTGTATTTGGTGTATCTAGTGGAGTGCTGGCATAGTCATACACGTATAGAACTACAGTATAAAGTGGATATTAATTCTGTATATGATCGTGTTACTAGCATGAAAGAAGCAATTCCTATTATTTGGTGGAAAGCCATTTGCTACCATTACATCCGTCGAACTCGTCAAGTGACCAGATACCGTAATGGCGACGCTTTCACTTCCACTCAGATTTATTATGAACGAGTGAATTCATGCACGGCTGGCTCGGCCTTTAATTTTTCTCAGTGTGGTGTAAAAGATATTTCTAAAAAACTATGTGGATTAGCTGACTATCCGGCTACTAAGATTCGCTTTTCTAAAGGATTTTCTTTTGCAACTATTGAAGCGGAGTGTGAATTCGAGGACCAACGCGCTCAATTCTTCCAGGATTACGAATCACGAGATGATTATATGGAAGGCCGTGAGGGTATGGATTTATTAAATGTGAATTTTAAAGAATATATGATAGCCTTCGCGGATCCTGATAATCTCCCGTGGTACGTGTCCCATGTTATTTTCTGGGTAGCATCTTTCCTTTTGTTATCATGGCCATTGAGAGTTATCATAGAGTTCAAAACGGCGCATCTTCATTATCATGTACATAAACTCTTTGGTGTAAATTACGTGAATACAGGAACCATGCCTCGTCCTATATCTCGTGTAACTATTAATAGCACAGATATTGAAATGAACATCAGAAACAATAATGCATTAGTTCCAAGTTATTCAGAAGCAATTCTAATGGACTTGTCGCGTTCAAGGTATATGTCGGACACAGTGACTGGAACAAGTTCGGGCAATGAAACCCCAAGAAGTTTTACTTTTTCAGCATTCCCTCCATCTCGAAGTACAGGCTTTCTACGGAGCTTTTTTTCGTCGAACAATCTGGGTACATCTCATCGGCGTTCAAATAGCTATTCTGGTCTTGGTGAAAATATAGCTAGGACTTATATTCGTTCTGAAAATCGTGGCACTAGTGAAATATTTAATTTTGCAAAACGTTGGAGAAGGCGTGTTCGTAGAAAAAGGGGAACAGGGTCATCCTCAAGCACCAGAAATGACATTAACACGACTTCCCCGACCTCGCAAGACGAATATTACGTCACTATTGACCCAGCAGCCTCCACAGCTACGTTGTCATCAAGAGTTCCAGCACGAACAAATACAATCTATAATCCACGTTCCACGGAAAATATTTATGCAAATATCACGAGGCCGCGACCTCTTCCATCCGTTAGGCCTCCAATACGCCATGAGGACAGTGAAACTTCCGTATCATTAGCACGAGATGCACCGCCATGCTATGAAGACGCGGTACTGGTTGTCAGTGAATCGAATCTCCAGATACAGGATCCGGTGCGACTCGGGGAGGAAGCAAACGAGAATGAAACAGAACATTCTCAATTAATACCTGCTGCATCGAGTTCTAGACAATATCTAACATTCCCATGCATGGAGACGTCGTTATAATTGTGTTTATGTATGTCTGAACTATTTGAAAATATGTTCTATTCGTCTCCGGCGAAATCAAGTGATAAAAATGTTAGTGAACGAAATGTTAGTAATTGTTTATATAAAGATTGACTATATGATGGCCTGGATGATTGTGATATATATACACCCTTGGGATGTTTTGTCTACCACTGACTTCATTGATGTTTCTATCGACAGTACGTATTTGATTGGACGATTTTGTTAGCGGAATTGCTATAATCCACCTGAGAATTTGGGCTACATTTGCTGTCTATTCACTCTCCAGGTCCAAACAAGTGTCTATATGTTGGTTATACAAACAGTACAAAGATTTCATATGTGTATAACGTATTTACACTATTTGACCTAAACCCTTATTCCCAAGAAACATGTTGCTGGTCCCAAAATTAAATTATTTTCCATGGTACCGGTACATGATTATTGGCGGGATTGGTATATTTGTTTTGATCTAGAAGCTTTAATGGTTTTGGTAGGCGTTTTCTTTAAAGGTGCATATACGGCAATCGTATACAGTACAAAACGATATTTTATAGGAAACATACAATTACCATTTAGACCAATATTTATGGAAATAACTTCTTCAAAAACATCAGCAAATTTAATAACAAAACAAAATCTTTAGAAAACTGGATTATAGGCAAAATGGAATGGTTCATTCTTATTTTGTGAAATATAAATAATTTGCTAAAACATTTTATATAGAATTTTAAACAGATATGTTTTCTACAATCAAAGTATGTTATATTAACACTTTTGTATTAGACGGGGATCAACATTATTAAATAATATCATCTTTCTGAGCAACGGGAATCATCGTCGTCTATCTTGTTCATATTTGCTAATTGTAGGCAATTTGTGTAAGATTTGGATAAAGAGCTGACCATTCCTGTCAGTTCAAAAATGAATATATTGAAAATTTCAGTCAAATTACGTTATTCCGTGCGAAATTTAGACAAGGTTGTCTCCATTGTTACGATATTAAACAAAGTCTCTGTTATTCATTTTGTCGTTAAAATATTAAATGAAATGTATAATGTGTTCTAATCCATTCATTATCTAAGCTATCCGATGTTCCCAGAGAGTTGATTATGACTATGGGCTTGGCATGTTAATAAACTGTATATTATAATTTATATAACATTTGAAGCCTGAATAAAAAGACCTGCAATAGGCAGGTTTGGCTTTTACATAATGCACCTTTAATATAAAGTTAAAAATCAAAAGAATTCAGTATTAAATAATAATAATTTCTATTGTCTGTTTTTATAAAAAATTCATCATGTTATTATCATTTATATAATTTGCATAATATTTCATGATTTGTATTATATTTGATAGATAAATTGAATATGTATACATAATATTTTTTTGTCTTCTTACAAACAGTGCATTGTCAAAATACTTAAGGAAATGAAACCAATCGCATGACTAGTGTGGGAATCTGCTAAGACATTGAAAGCTGAAATAAGTAATAATGATTCCAAGTCAAGGTCCGGGTGGCCAAGGGGTTTAACAATTGAGCGTTAGATCATAACGTATGTCACCCATGCAAATGGCGTGGTTGCACACGACAAGGTGTACGAGCTCATTTCAAGCCTCATGTTATCTCTGGGTTCTCCAGTTTCCTCTTCTGTTTTGTTTGATGTTATACCAGCAAGGGTTGTGCTTTTATTGTATCAATGACAACATAAGAAAACTTAATATTTGATTGATGTCAAACTTAGACCGGAAGTTCTTATGGTGCTTGGTCGCAATTTTCTAGTTATGCGACAGTAATGATCATATCTTTACCAATGACAACTAGTAGTGGCAGGCCGAAAATAAGGTAAAGATTCGATGTCCCAGACCGGCTGTATTCCCCGATTGACTCTGGCTGTAATCTCTATTTTTGTTAAGCTGTCACTAGTTTCTTATGGCCGTCATTCCTGGATTTGGTGTCCATCAGGACTTGTATATGTATACTTCAAAAATTGTTGTCGCACATCGTAATCTTGTTTATGTTTGTTGACATTGGGTGTTTTGGGGAATAAACATAAAAACATAATAAACATAATCCATTTACTTGGTCGTAGAACAGACTAAGGCAGGAGATAATTAGTGGCGAGAAAAAATTTCAATTGGACCTAGAAAATTCCATATTTGCCAGCTAACCAAATGAAATACTCCTTTCGGTGGACGATAATCGGGTGGTAATTTCATTTTAGTAGAATGGTTTTAGCATCTTCTCATCGACACCTAAACTATCCATGAGTATGCTAGAGAAATTCAGATTTGACTTATATTATCAGATGCTACGTTTAACAATTATACTCTCCTGTTGACCTGACTTCAGATTTATAAATCAAGTTTGTGAACTACATTAATCCCCCTTTCTTGAGAAGCTTATTGATTTGAATCTTTACTTTAATCTTAGATTACCCACTTTTATCCTTGAAAAATCAATATGTCTTCTACAACAAACTTTCCCTTCAATTGTCCATTGTTTGTATTTCATTCGTGTTTATGTGCCTCTTCCCTGCATCTCAACATATTAAATGGAACCACAATCAGTTTTAAAGCTATATCGCAGAAAAAACACATGCTTCTCCTTTTCACTCTCTCTCTCTCTCTCTCTCTCTCTTTCTCTGTACTATAAAATATAGTTAATTTGTTTCAAACTAATGAAAATTAAAACACGATATACACAACTGAAGTCTGTTTGATAATTCCACTTCCAGCACCACAAATCAGGAACCCCTGTTTTCAGTTATTGTTGATTATCAGATTAAGCATTATTTTAAAATTCAGATATTTTACAATAGTCAATGACATATCATATGGTACTAGGCAGATATAAGACGCCAAAAAAAACACAACCTATCGGCACTCGCACAGCTTACCAAGTCATTACCATTCCTTCTTCCCGGGAAAGATTTAAGAATGTTTCAAAAATAAATTAATTAATAAAACACAGGATTGTATATGGTAGCAAATAGTATATTACTTTAATGCGATTACATATATAAACTAATCCACCCCCTCCTCCAGAATGCTCTTTTTATTTTGTTATCGAATCACTTCGATCAATTAAGATCAGGGAAGATGAGCAAAGGTTCTAAAATAACAAATAGAATTGATGCTTTAGATCTAAATTTATATTATAAAATTGACCGCTATCCTGTCTCGCAAATATACCCCCCCTGGAGATTGGTTTTTCCGTTATGTATCTAATTTAGAAAACATTGATAGGCCAATCGGGAACAGTAATAAAAATAGTGCTTTACCCAGCAGAATTCAATAATTAGCATAGTAGAGTCGCTTGCAGAGTTCAGAAGACCTAAGGAAGTCGTGAGAGGTTTGAATTCAAAGGTACTGAAGGTTAACACCGCTAAACAACAAGGTCAAGGGCGTCCTGATAGAACGCAATACATCAAATGTAAGTGTATATAAAAACAGTGATCACTGATTTGGATTTGTTTCGTCACTGAAAAAACAAAGCTACTGACGTGGTTAGTGAATATCCGTTACTAATTCTCGAGCTATGTGGGGCATGCACATTTGGGCTGTTAAATATTTAAATTTCAAAACAAAGTCCCTCCAAGTTTTAACTTGTTTTGAATTAAAATAGTCAAAATGCGGGACTGTTTATCAAATTGTGTAGCCCCCCCCCCCCCTTTCGGATATCACCTAAAAATGAAAATAATGAAATAACAACCATCACTGTCGGTTTAGAAATAGTTGCTCGTTCGATGTGATCTGAAACAGAATATTTGGAAAGTTTGGATAATGCTGGAATTTTGCTGGAGATAATCCGCCCGGTTGTTTAGACATAGTTGATCGCAATCTGTTTTACAGGGGTATTGTGAAAGCCTTCTTATACCTAGTATTAGATGACTGACTTTTATAAGTTCAAGTTTCCCTTCTACAGTTGACGTCATATCACGAGGCGTCCATCATTGGCTCTATGGCGCGTGCATTTTTTACTTAGACGTTGCTGCATTAACTCGTCCGGGCAGAATGGTGCAGCTTTTTACTCATTTTATATACCCAATTACACTAAAGAGGATTTTTTTTTCTACATATACTTCAAACACCTATATTTATTTTTCTAATACTTCAAAAAAAAAGAAAAAAAAGGGGATGAGGGTGGATGGCCGAATGGTTAGCACGTGCGCGCTGTATCATAAAGCCTGTCATTGAGTCAACTGGCGTGGTTTCGAATCCCCGGTTGAATGTGACAAGGAGTAGGGTCGCCTGTCCAACCTCGTGGGTTTTCTCCGGGTCCTCCGGTTTCCTCCCACTGCTAAAGACCCCTACGCGCAAGCGAATTATTGAAATAAGATTAAACAATGTGTTAGTCCCGAAATGACCTAGTTTGTGTCGAGTGGACGTTAAACCCCATTTCTCTCTCTCTCTCTCTCTCTCTCTCTATCTCTCTCTCTCTCTCTCTCAAAAAAAAATGTTCTAGAATTTAATTTGCTGATGGAAAAAAGTTAATATCGCGAGTTCATTAAGCCGCACCGATGTCATTCCTCTCAGTGATTGTAACGGCCTAGCGGATATTCACCGCTGATCAGGAGAGTTAGAAGCTTGGATTTGTATGCACGGCCTACAAGAGCTTCGGTTCTTATAATAAAATACCTTTTCCAATGCCGTGGGTTAAATATGATTCTCTTTAGAATATATTACATAGAATGGAATATATAGCAAGATATTACACCAGCTCAAGATTTATCTGATTGAGTTGAAGATGATGACAATTGTATCTGATAAAAGGAACTGGATTGTCATTAACATTCTATCTTTAATTTATCAATTTCACTTACTTCCAGAATGATCGATATTGTCTTTATTGCTCCATGCTGTAAAAATACATCAAAGGGCTTATAATATGTTTCTTTAAATTGGGATAAATGTTTATTTTCATTAAATGTATATTAGAATCATTCATTCTTCTTTGACATGAGTCGATTTCGTCAACTGTATGAATACATAGTGAGTATATATAGAGATAAAATACACGCGAAGGGGAAATTCTGTTATATTTAACTGTACGGAATTAGCATGTTGGTAACATTACTCACTCTTCGTTCAACAGACTAGTTGGTGGTATATAAGATACAGAATCCCCAGAATAAAACATTTCAGTTATATAACTTCAAATGCGGATGCAAAGATGTTCTAAAATAAATAAATTATGCACCTTTATAATATAAACACGGCACTTGATTGCAAATGGGATTCGTACCATTGTCTAGATTGGTCATTGTCCATATTCAAGCTATATGTGAATGTAGTTCGAATATGTAGCATGATA